ACCCAGGGGTGTTCAAACTTGACAGCTTTAAGACTTGTGGACTTCAACTCCCAGAATTCCTCCTCTCGCTCTTCTTGATGATGTGCCAATGGGCAGGGGGATGGAGCTGGAACCGGTTCTAAACGACATTGTAGATTTGTAGAACCTTTTCTATAGAAGAGGTTAGAATTGTCAGGAACCCACCTTTGTAGTTAATTGACATATGGTCTACTGAATTAACCTAACTTCCTGGGCTCACCAAATGCATTGCCATAAATCACTTTCAATGATGTACCTACATTAGAAGACTGGGACATACATTTTCTATAAAATAAATGAATTAAGTGAACCACAATTGCTTGTTTCATGTTAACATTGTTGACTAGTTTATGGTTTGTGTGTCATGTGAACACAGCCGTTAAGTTGTTTGGCAAAAGTGAAACATTTTCAGTGAACACAAAGGAAGCATATCCCCTCACCCCACTTTAAACACATACAGGCATTCAAAATTTTATGGGAAAAATATCATATCATAACAGAACATAAAAGCACATTCAACAGCACCTGGGCATAAGGACTTGCCCAAAAGACATGACCAGCCTATTAAAAGGACCCAAACTGCAATGGTATTTATGCTAGGAAAAGTATATACAAAAATTCTATGTATTAGGTGAAAAGGCACATGGATATGCATAAATTTTCATAAACTGAGGTTGACTGATGACAAATAAATTTAAGATTGGTGAAATGAGAAACTGAGCAAGAGTGAACATTGTATATTCCTTATGCATGACAGTTACATATACCAGAAGTAACATGATTGGAATTACATCTTCTGGGGAATAGAAAAAAATCAGACAGGATCCTGCTTTTAAGTAGCTAACAATTTCAGTCAAGTAAATTAACAGAGAGATACAAGGCAATGGATATGATTAGTGCAACCTTGCATGTTCAGCTAGAAATAAGAATTAAATGAATGAGAAATTCCAATATATGATTACACAGGTGATTATCTAAGAAGACTACATAAATTCCCCACATAAACTGCTCTAACCAAAGATCTTGGAAAAAGCGAGGAGAGGAATAACATAACAATCATTTTCTCTCTCATCCCTTAATATTTCATTCTCTTTTTTTATGATGGGTTTTCAGATAATCAAAACTAATTTGAAGTTTTACCTGAGTGACTATTGTGGAAATGAATTGGGACTGATCATAGGTCCATCCATACTGGCAGCTCTGGACAGATACATTGGTCAATTCAAGAGAGGAGTTAAGCAGTAGATGAAACTGAGGTTCAGAAAACATCTCACAGGAGCTGAAGGCTCCATTAAAATCCCTTGGAATGTTGATGATCAGCACCTCTTCTTTAGTAAGATTGGCAAATTGTTGCTGATGTGGGATGGCACAGTGATGTTCTGGGATGGCTGCTAGGAAGTTATGCAGCAGGAAATGCAAGGGGAGCAAGACTCTTGGGATGCAGAGCAGAAGCAGTATTAAGATCTGGAATTGCCCAAAACCTCCGACTTCCCCCAGGAGCTCTTCAAAGTTCATCTTTGTCAAGTCACTTGTTTGCTACTAAGAGCTGAGATGCCGGAGAAGAAAAATCCTGCTGATGTTGGGCTCTATATGAACTAGATGCCATGACTTTTTGCAAAGTGTTTGTGGACTTTGAGATGTAGAATATGCCTCCCCCCCCCCTTAGCAGGAACTATGCCAAAGGTTTATTCACAGTGAGAACTGGATGGGGTCAGAATCAGTTAAGTCATAATTACTGAGACATGAAAGAAAGAAATCTAAAAGAAAAAATAAGGACAGGAAGCTAGACGATAGGAAAATATTTAACACAATGAGTATTATTGATTGACTAATAATCTTTAATGCTGCCAGAAATCATGCATGGACATACAGTATATTCTTCTCTCTCTCCTTATCTGTAAAATTAAATACTAGCCCAGGCACACAGGCTACCATACTTTCCCTATGACCAAGAATTTTCTTTGGGAGCATCTCACTGTTTTTGTTGACTTAGACAGAAATGCACAGAAGACAGAAGGGAGATGTAATCAAACACATTGGAAAGACAAAAGCTTGTAAACCAAAGCATAGGAATAGATCAATTCTCTAAAGATACACTTGCCGGTCAGTTCAAATATTTTAATGGAACATAGATAATATCCCCAAACTAAATTGTAAACTAACTGATCATAGTTTAATGTAACAGGTTGTGCAAACTTGACCCAGCTATTTATTGTTCAATTTTCAACTCAGAAAGCTGAGTTAATTAAGTAAACTAGGGTCATTGACCTTGTTAAGCATGTCATGAGAACACAGCCAAATGCTGTGTACTTTAGTCCTTATGTATTATACAAATACTTCTTATGAAAAGAAATTGAGCTCAAAGGGAAAAAAATTAAACTCAGGATACCCAAAAGTCATGTGATTAAAATTCAGATGCTTGGCAACTGACATGTATTTATGACAATTGCAGTGTCCCAAAGTCATGAGATCATCTTTTGTGACCTTCCGACAAGCAAAGTTAAAGGGGAAGCCAGATTCAGTTAACAACCCTATTACTAACGTAATAATTGCAGTGATTCACTTAACAACTGTGGCAAAAAGGTCATAAGATGGGGCAAAACTCACTTAACAACTGCTTATCAAGAAAAAATTTGGCTTCACTTGTGACTGTAAGTTGAGGAATACCTGTAATCATTTTTATTCCCATTTATGACTCAAGGTTCTTGTGGCTCATCCATTAACTTTAAGGAAGTTCTAATCATATGGAATAATTATTGATGAGGGGTTTGGGGAATTAGGACCAATGTATAGGCTACAGTGGCACATGTAAGCTGGCTGTCTAATTAAGTATAGACAGTATATCTAATTCATTTCTAAATAAGACTCACTGAAGTAGATCTTGATTTCCTAAAAGCAATTTCACAGCTATGGGTTCCTTGTACAGCTCTTTAAAGTGCTGATATCATAGGCAACATGCAATAAGTAAACAGCTGGTTCCCTATTTGGGAGTAGTGGTGGTTTACCGGGTGATGTCTAGTTGGGGGTGCAGCTGTTGTTTGAGTTTACAGTAGAGGTTGAAGACCCCATACTCAAAGAGAGCAACAAATTGGACTCACAGAGCGAATAGTGGATGGAGCACTAGCATTCAGCCCTATCATCTATAATTAGGTTTATATGCCCTTGTTGGAATTCCTCTGGGATCAATCATATCTATAATTACAGATACAAAATGTATTTATTTACTTTTTAAATGTTTTTTTTTCAGAAACAGTGGACTATTACCTAAGTAAGTACTGTTTGATAACCAAAGGAATCCTTTCCCCTTTATACAACATTTAATTCAGAGGTGTTAACTTATGTTGCTGAAGTTCCATGATCATTGGTACGGAATGGTGGTAAAGCAAAATGCATAACTTTCCATGTTCTGCTCTAGAGGAAGAGTGGTAACTTGTGGCATTTCAGATATGGCTGCCTACAATTCCCAGCATTCCTCATCTTTCTGAGAGAATTTTAAATCCTAAGAGTAAAATAATGTAATGAGGGAATACTTCTGGGTCCCGGGCACAAAGGAGCAATAAATGTTGCTCACTAGAGTGATCCACCTGTTAGGGCCTACGGTTGACAATGGAACGTAACATCACAAAGTAGAAGCGTAAAGAAGGCAGGGAGAAAAGAGCAGAGTCTTCTTATTGTCATTTGAGCTACAATCATTTTTTCCAGTTCAGACGTCTTGGAACAAGCCAACAGTGACTTCTTGTGGCTAAATGAACTCATCACAAGTCACATCAAGTGATGGCTATCTGTAATAGAAATGTTATCATTTAGGCATGTATATGTAAACAGACTTTTTTGGGGCCACCTAATGAGAAGGAAGGACTCAATGGAGAAGAGCCCAATGCTGGGAAAGATTGAGGGCAAAAGGAGAAGGGGATGACAGAGGATGAAGTAACTGGATGGAGTCACTGAAGCAGTAGGCGTGAGTTTAAATGGACTCCAGGGGATGGTAGAGGAATGGAGGAATGTTGTCCATGGGCTTACGATGGGTCGGACATAACTTCACAACTAACAACAACAACATGTAAAAAGAAAGTATGCACAATCCAGCTTTTTGAGCTGGCTGCTGAAGTTATTTGTGCTTCTAGTATAGAGCTGAGAAGATTGGGCCCAGTGGAGGTGAGACACAACTGTTACCATAAATACATCTCTATTATTTACTCTTTTTTCAAAGTTGCATCCAGTCTTTATTTAAACATCACTTGTTTATCTTTAATTTAAAAGCTTAGCTAAAGAAAAAGTTCAAAGAATCCAACTTCCACTGTCATTTTTATATTGAGTTTGGATTATAGAGTTTAAGAATACTTGCAAAAACTATAATTAGAAGAATGCACATACTTTTGAGCTTCATTGTTCCTATGACCTTTCACTTTGTGGAGGAAAAAAATATGAAGTATTGTTTCTTACCTATTTGGATAACATGCTCACATTGGACTATATTAAAAAAATGTTTCATTCTTTCTTTTGTTTTGCTTTAAGGTAATAACGAGAACCTAACAAGAAATTTGGAAGCTCTATCCCTGATTTGTGCAAAAAAAATATATGCATAAATTTGGGTGCTCTACCCAATGCAAATTATAGGGAGCTGGGTCCAAAAACAGCCTGATTCAGAAAGATTGCTTGTTAAATGAGAAAGACACCAGTGTAAAGGAAACGTAACTACTTGAATGGAGATTAGATCTTAACTATCTGCCCCTACATCTATGGATGTGGCCACTCCACTTTGCATCAGCCTCGAAAGATACTATTTCCCCCCTGAAAATAAGACAGGGTCTTATTTTCTTTTTACCCACAAAATATGGCTTGGGCCTTATTATGAGGGGAGGGTTTATTGTTTTGGGGTTGTTGGGTGGATGCTCTCTTGCGAGCAGGCTCCCAAAGAGCCGGGCACAGCCTCATGGGCGAAAGGCTGTGTTGCGCTGGGCATACACTCTATGGTTGTGGGCCAGCTGCCGGCAGAGCGTACAACCATAGAGCTGCCACTGCTAGAAGACTCAAGAGCTGGGCCAGGGCATCGTGAGGCTGGGAGGCACGTGAGCGAGAACGAAACAGCCGCTCACGTAACCCCCCTGTGCCCGGCTGGAAAGAGGTTTTGCCAGGTGGCTGCTCGTCAGCGTGGTCGCTTCATGGCTGCTGTGTTGCGCTGCTATGACAGCGCAACACAGCCATTCACCCATGAGGCTGTGCCTGGCTCTTTGGGAACCCGCTCACAAGAGAGCAGCCGCCTGGCAACCCCCCTCTTCAGCTGGGCAGAGCTGCTCACCAACCTAGCGGTATCCCAAAGGCACCAAGCAACGTGATCACCTTTGCCTCCCCCATCAGCTTGGCACCTTCGGGATACCACTAGGTTGGTGAGCGGCATCTGCCTGGCCGGAGGTGTGGGGTTGACCAGAGGGGTTATTTGCGGGGAAGGGCTTATATTTTGGCCCATCAGAAAAATGTTGCATGGCCTTATTATCAGGACATGTCGTAATTTGGGGGAAACACGGTAGCTACATCTGTTGGGTGGGGGAAAAAAACCTGCAAAATTTTCAAGAACAAGCAAGAATAATCTCCATTTTATATGGAGACAGAAAGAGACATTGCATGGAGATATTGACAGTCTGCATGTAACCATAAATGGGTTGGTTCTCTGTTAAGATATCATTTCATAATGAGATAATGCAGTTCCTAGGATCTGGTTGAGGTCCTGATCCATAGATATGGAAATAGTAGTGTAGACTATATTGTCATTGTATATCATGTATACAATGAAATTGGTTTGATGGGACTTTGATTCGATTGACAGGTGCTTTTCTGCTGTGAACATATCCATGCAGAAGTCTGGGTAGTGGGCCAGCTTACCACAGAAGTAAATACTCACCTGTCAGACAGACAGCCGCAAAGGAGAGATTTGTCAGTTAGGCCACTTATGCCCTAGTATCTGCCTGGTCATTTCAATAGTCCAGGTTCCTTCAATGCCACCTATCAAGACCCAGAGTCAAGCTTTCTCTGAGGCAGCACCTGCCCTTTGAAATGGGGTTCCCCCGAGATTCAAACAACCTACTGTCATTCTGAAGAGGCCTAAGATGTGGTTCTTTGCCTAACCTTTTGTGAGGGAGTGCAAGATCCCTTGCTTGATTCCATCCAGTCTGTTCCTCTTGCCATATTTTATCCACCCACCTCTTTGTGCTTCATTATAACTTGTTTTGACTGGTCTGAGTCAGAGTCGCTGGGAGACAAGTGGCATATAAATATATTGTTTTTACTATTAACATTATTATGCAAGAAGGGAGCAGCAGCTTGATTCAACACCAGATCCCCTGTAGTAGAACCAATCAAATAAGGGTCAGTATGACTTTCACATGGATTAAACCACAGCTTTTGGCCTAACTTGTTTAAAGAGTAGCAGGAGTTACCAAAAATGATTAACAAAAATAAGCAACGAGATATAAAACTTTACCAACCACCTTTGAGTTGAATATATTGCAAACTTACCTTTCAAGATCATTCAGGTCAGGGAAACAAATTCCATAAATTTGACTGAAAATCTGTT